AGCTGCTGGGATTACCATTGTACCCAGCTAACTATATATGTATGTATGTATGTATGTATGTTCAAACATGATCTTATTTTAGGTATTTCCTTGTTTGGGGGGTTTGTTTTAGAGCTGGGGTTTAACCCAGTTCTTGCTAGGAAAGTACTCTACCACTGAGCTACCAGCAGTTCCATAGGTACTTTTTTCTTTTGAAGGGGGTGGGCACTGAACCCAGGGGTGCTCTACTTATTACTGTGCTACATCCTCAGTGCTTTTTATTTTTTGAGGTAGGGTCTCACCAAGTTGTTGAGGCTATAGATCTTCTTCCCTCAGCCTTCAGTGTCTCAAGAATTATAATTGTGTGCTATCACACCCAACTCATACTTGTTTCTTAATTTTCAGTTGCTATGTGAATTTCAAAATTATTCCTCTGTAGTTTAAAACAATTAAAATTTTGCTCTTTAAAGCTTTGGACTAGCCTGTGACAGCTCAATTTCTATATACTTTTTCCCGTTTTGCTTCTTAACACTTAACATAATATTTGAAATTCATCTATATTGTTACATGCATCAAATGTAAGTGGTTCCATATTTTTAACAGTATACCATTAAATGAATATGCCACATTTTGTCTATTCAGTTTTCATTTGATATAGACTCTTGGGATAGTTTCTAGTTTTGTGGAAATTATGAATAAAGCTGCTATGAAGACTCATGTTCCAACAATTTATATATTCATTTTTTGGTGAACATATCTAGGAGAATTGTTGAGTATAGAGTAGGTGTATGTTTCTTAGAAACTGCCAGTATTCAAAAGTGTATGTCCAGGCTGGGGATGTGGCTCAAGCGGTAGCGCGCTCGCCTGGCATGCGTGTTGCCCGGGTTCGATCCTCAGCACCACATACAAAGATGTTGTGTCCACCGAAAACTAAAAAATAAATATTAAAAAAATTTAAAAAAAAAGTGTATGTCCTATTTTATATTCCCACACACAATGTATGCGATTTTATGTTGTTGTACCTCCTTGTCAATACTCTGGATTGTCCGTCATGTTAATTTTAGCAACTCTAGTAAATATGTAGAGCTGTTTCAATTTCACTTCCTTGTATCTTCTGGTGTGGAATACCTCTTCATTTACCCCCCTCCCCCTTTTGTGGAGTAAGGGGGAGCATTCAATTACCTTTTTTTGAAGAAAGCACTTTTGATTTTCCCTTATTGCTGTTTAACTAGGTTGTGTGGTTTCATGGTCATCTGATGTAGAATCAATTACATAATATAATAACTACTATATATAATATAATCTGTGGTGTACAAATGAGTTAATGCAGAGATAGCTTTTTTTGAACTCTGAAAAGCCAGAAGATGTTGGGAATACAGAATGTTCCTATTTGGACTTTTCTTTCTTGCAAAATATGAACTAAAAGATGGAACTTCTTTTTTAAAAGTTATCCAGTTGTTCAGTTAACTGACCTTGTATTCTAATGTTTCATTTGTTCATTCATTTAAGTTATATCAAAAAGTAAGATGTAACTATGGATGTATTTTCAGTTGTCTCATAATTGTTTTCATGGCATTTTCACAAGTTTCTCTGGAAAATATTGGCTTTTGACTTTCTAATTTTTTTTGGCTATTATTTACTCCGTCACTATTTCCCTATAGTGTTTGAAGATATATCCCTTTTTTTTTTAAAGAGAGAGAGAATTTTTTTAATATTTATTTTTCAGTTTTCGGTGGACACAACACCTTCATTTTATTTTATTTTTATGTGGTGCTGAGGATAGAATCCAGTGCCCTGCGCATGCCAGGCAAGTGCTTTTACCGCTTGAGCCACATCCCCAGCCCAAAGATATATTCTTTATTGAATAGAAAGAATCTATTAACACTGGAATAAAATAACCAGTGAAAAGCACACTTTTTCCTTTTCTTTCCTGTCCTTCTCTTTTTTTCTCTCAGTTTGTGGTACTGGGGATAGAATCCAGGGCCTCATTCATGCTAAGTAAATGCTCTACTGCTGATATACAACCCCCCAACCCTTATTTACTTAATTACTTACTTATTTACTGGGGATTTTACCTAAAGAGCGCTTTACCACTCAGCCTCATCCCCCAGCTCTTGTTTTTGAGACAGGGTCTTACTAAGTTGCCCATGTGGGCCTTGGCCTTATGATCTTGTCTAAGCCTCTCAAGTAAGTGGGATTACAGGTGTGTGCTACCATGCCTGGCCCACTTACATATTTTCCCTGTCCTGAATTACTGTAAGTAGCAGTTTTTAATTTATTGCTTTAGCGTCTAGTATTAGTCATCTTTGACTAAGGGTCATACTCATGTTTGATAGCATCTCTCCAAAACCTACGAATTTCAGAATGTCCATTTCTTGGGAGGAATTCTACTGTTGAATAATGAGTGTGCTAATGGAAAATGCCATTTTTCATGGCTTGAAACCACAGGCACCTACTTTAGAGGAAATGATTCCCTTTTAAGTGATTTGTATAGCAAGATGTTCAATACCCATTATTAATAAAATCCTGTTTCTTGAATTTTTTACAATACATATGTTGTAATTTGAACAATTCAACCTACTGGCTGTTCAATTATATTTTATCTACATTATATACATACCTGCCTTAGAATTTACTTTAGCAATTTATACACTACATAAAATATATTGTATATAATATATAAATAATAGTAGGCTTATGTACTTCATAGAAATAAAGTTATCTCCTTTCACTCAAAGACTGGGAGAATGTTAGGGGTATTGTAACATGGTTGGCTATTCTCTTTAAAATATACCTTCTTTTTTTTTTTTTTAAAGAGAGAGAGAGAGAATTTTTAATATTTAGTTTTTAGTTCTCGGCGGACACAACATCTTTTGTTGATATGTGGTGCTGAGGATCGAACCCGGGCCGCAAGCATGCCAGACGAGCGCGCTACCACCTGAGCCACATTCCCAGCCCAAAATATACCTTCTTTAATGTTTTATCTCCTAAGTCGTCATAAAAGCATATGTGGTACTGACTACATTTTTGACTGTGTGAAAAATTTCTCTACTTCATCTTAGGATATGGTTAGTGGAATACCCTCCCCTTTTTTTCCACTTTAAACAATTTAAATGGTTTGGAATGACAAGGTATAGTCAAACATTAACATGTCCATAGTTCTTATTACCTGAATTTTAATTCTAAAATTAAAGACACTACTTTATCCAAAGTGGTTGTCATGTAGTCTTATGTATTAACTTTTTTTTCTTTTTTAAGGATTTCAGTTATTTAAAATTTCAGTTAAGGAATTATTCTAATTATTCTAGGCAATTATTGGTTAACCCTCACCCCCGTTCCATCCCCTGGCCTTATTTGGCAGTGTCACTTGGTGATAACTTGTTTTTCAGAATCAGAAAATACTAAATCCATCTGCCTTTGTGTATCAATTTTCCAGATTTTAAAATTAAATTAGAAGCTGGCTGCATTGGCATGTACCTGTATTCCCAGCGACTCTGCAGACTTAGGAAGATTGCTTGAGTCCCCTGAGTTTGGGGCCAGCCTGGGCCCCATTAAAAAACAACAACCCTTCAAATTACTACTATCATCTGATGGATGTACTTGTACAATAGCTCACTGTGACTTTTTTCAGGTTTGATTACAATGTACTGTAGTGGTACAGCCTGTAATTCTAGTGACTTGGGACTGTGAAAGTAAGATCACAAGTTTGAGGCCAGTTAGAGCAATTTAGTGAGAACCTGTCTTAAAAATAAACAAAAAATAAAAATAACTGGGGATGGAGCTTAGTAGCACCTTGTCTCTGGATTCAATCTCTAGTACCCCCAAACAAAACAAAAACAAAGCAGTGTACTATAAACCTCATTGCTGTAGAGTGCATGTTTTTGGTTTGGGGCCTTGTTTGTGTATGCTAGGAAAGTGCTGTGAGCCAGGTCCCAAGCCTCTAGTGGCTTATTTTTGAATATTGAATGTAAGTATTAAGCCACACTTTTGACTAAATGTTGACAATTAGAACTTGGAAAAATTCTAAAGATTACCTTTCCAAGTTTCATTAAATTTGATATCTTGTAAATTTCAGATTCAGTTTTGAAAAGTTGAGAAGGCTTAATTTAACATTTTATTCGACTGTTGTTGTATTATTAAGAATAATTAAGTAATGCTGTTCAATTTGGTTTTATGTTTCCATTTATTTTCATTGTCAGCCTTAATTTTACCAAAGGTGGTTAGAAAGATGTTAAAAATTTATAAAACCAGCTTAAGAACACAGATGAATTTATGAGATCTTCAACAAATACCTTGCATAGGGCTGGAGATAGAGTTCAATTGATAGAGTGTTTGCCTAGTATGCTCAAGGCCCTGGGTTTAGTCCTCTGCACCACCAAAAATAAAAAATAAATAAAAAATAAATAAAAACCTTCTATAGTAGATAGAATGCCAGTTGCTGGTAGAAATTATAAAAAATAATTATAGAGGATATATATAAAGGATGAGATAATTTAAACCTGTTTCCACAGAAAAATCTTGGGTGTGTGCTTTTTTGGACAACATTGGTCCAAGGTAGAAAGTGTCTTTTTCTGATATAGCACAACAAAAATATGGGTATGTTCTGCTTTGGCACAAGTAGAATAAAATTTTGTAGGTATAGTAGGAATCTATCTTTGTTACATTGAGAGAGCAATAATCATTTTATACAAGGGCCTGTGGAAATTGGGACTTGGCAAAAAAGTTTTCTTACAATATTTTTAAAATCCTACCAGATTTAAAAGTTACTATTTAGGATTTAATAGTGTTTTATGCCAAAACAAAATTAATCTAAATTTTAAGTTTGCATACTTAGAGGAAATGGGGCATATTTTAAATTGAAGGAAAATCTTCATTTAATGAAAATTAGGTCCTTTCATAATGGAATTATACTGCAAAGTGGTATCTTAATAGAATCTTGGTTATTGTTAAGAACTTTGAAGAGATGAGTTAAAACTTCTGAAGTCAAATTTTAAAAGGCTGAATCTGATTTGTGTTTCTAGGGTAATAAAAGACGACATGGATGAAGCTTCTGAAACTCCAGCTTCCAGGATAATTCAGAAGAGTTAAAGACCAAAAATGCTACAATCATACTTTATTTCAGGTCAGTCAGCATCTATACATTGATGCCAAGTTTTTAATTTTTTTAATTTTCCCATTCTTCCTAATTCTGTTGACTATAATAAACAGATACATGCTAATAAACATGTAATGTAATCTTTATAACAAAATTGGGATAGGCTAATTTTATCCTAATACCTTCAGCAAATATTACTGTAAATATATTTCTTTCCTAGCCACTTTACCTGGTGATGGCAAACATTTTGTCCTGTTTTAGCTTCTGTAGGTGTGGTGCTGGAGACAAGTGATGGCATTGCCTGAGAGCTTATTAGAAATTCAGGATCTGCAGCCAGACTCAGAATGATCTCCTGAATCAGAATGTCCATTTTAACAAGGCCCCAGAAGGTGTGAGCACATTGAGAAGCACTGATGGGTCCCATAACCTTTCTAAGGTATTGAATATCACCTCATGCACCACAAAATTGACAGCTGTTTTGCTTATTGTTTTCCAACTCTAGATTAATCTTGGGCTTTGGTTATGAAATGTGGCTCTGCAACATCATTGAGAAACTTATTAAGAATATACATTCTTAGACCCCATCCCCAGAACACTTTGGGGATGTTTGCTTAAAGCCTTTAGGTGATTGGTGGTTGAACTATCAATCAGGGAATTACTAATTTAAAAGAATTGCCTCTGGGGCAGAGGTTGTGGCTCAGCGGTAGAGTGCTCGCTAGCACATCTCTGTGTGAGGCCCTGGGTTCGATCCTCAGCACCACATAAAAAAAGTAAATAAACAAAATAAAAGCAATGGTCCCTTAAAAAAAAAATAATTGCCCTATCAAATATGTTTATAGAATTGCCCTTTCAAATGTTTGTAGAGAATAACTTGATATACATATGGGCATTTTGTTGGGATTAAATTTTCAAATGGTTATATATGTATATACCCTTCCTTAAATAAAATGTGAAGCAATCTCAAAATATATAGATAATGGAAAATCTAATGTACAGAGGTATCTTTGCCACACATCAAAGCTGTGGCATTAAGTGGCCTTTAAAGAAAGGTAGAGAAAGAAATTTTATGTTTATCAAATGACTTTGTCATTGGTTGGTTAAAATAACTGCCATTTGTTATAGATTTCATTTTCTAAGAATGTTAGTGGAAATCAAAATGTCAAATATATTGCTGGGCTTGGTGGCACACACCTGTAATCCTCCTTAGGAAACTGAGGAGGGAGGATCACTAGTTCAAAGCCAGCCTCAGCAATGGCAAGGTGTTAAGCAACTCAGTGAGACCTTGTCTCTGAATAAAATATAAAATAGGGTGGGGTGGGGGATGTTTCTCTGTGGTTGAGTGCCTGGGTTCAGTAGCTGGTACCAAAAAAAAAAAAAGAAAAAGAAAAAGAAAAAAGACAATGTATAATTCTAGTGAAGGCTATAGACACTGCTTTTATTATAAGAAGTTAAGAAATACCCTACCCCAAGATCAGACCCAATGCCATGTGCTCCTAAAGCAGTTTCTTCTTTAGGTTTTTGGAAGCACACCCAAGACTAGGTATGAGCTTTGTGACAGAGTGCTTGCTCAGTATGTTCAAGGATAAGGTTAAGCCCCAGCACCACAGTGAAGGGTGTGTGTGTGAGAGAGACACACACACATAGAGGCATGACTCAAGAAATATTCACTTTGTATTACAGAATCCCCTGAAGGGTTTGTTAGAAAGTGCTCCTGGGCTCTCTGAGACATAAGCCTAAGAATGTACATTTTAGCTCCCAAGTGATGCAACCTTGCACTGGGACATTTTCTTTTATAGTATATCTCTAGGTATTTAGATAATGTATCAGCTCACTTTAGGTAAAACCAGTGGCCTGAGCCACTGGATTAAAGAACAATTTTATAGGTCAAATGTACTAATTTAAATTGTGAATATTTTTTATATCTGCTGTTCCATGATTCTAGTCCAGCAAATTATTTTTAGAGCTGGATATGGTGTTGTGTGCTTGTAGTCTGACTCAGGAACCTGGGACAGGAAGATTGCAAGTAAGTGAGGCAATTTAGCAAGACTCTGTCTCAAAATAAAAAAGGGCTGAGGATGTGTCTCAGGGGTAAAGCGCTGAATGGGTTTAAAGTGGGTTAAATCTTCAGTACTAAGAACAAAAACCTTTTAAATTTTTTTATTTAAATAAAACCTTCTGTAATAAAAATATACTATGGATATTACTTCTTGCTAACCAAACAATTTCTTTTTCAGGTCAAATCACTGGAGAAACAAGCCAGAAAACACTATGGATTCTTCCACATGAACAATTTATAGATGAATGAGTAATCATAACACTCTGTGTCCCAGGGCAACATTTTCTGCAGTTAAAAGTGGTTATCTAGATCATAAACTTAAGTTTCCAAATTAAATCTAGGTGTTACCTACTACTGGGTGTGGTGGTGGTCTTACTGGCTGATTTTGAAAAATATTATGGTACAGCTCACAAACTCAAAAATTATGAATAAACCTCCTTTTCAAACTTCCTTACTGAAACCACTAGAAGACTATGATCATCCTCTCTGTCATGAAATTTTAGACTGAAGAAATTTTCTGCATTGGGGTGGAGGCAAGCTCAATAGTATAGGCCTTGGGCTGGGGATGTGGCTCAAGCAGTAGCGCGTTCACCTGGCATGTGTGCGGCCTGGGTTCAATCCTCAGCACCACATACAAACAAAGATGTTGTGTGTGCCGAAAACTAAAAAAAGAAATAAATATTAAAATTTTTAAATTTTATCTGGTGTGCGCAAAGTCGTGGGTTCAATCATCTGCACCAAAATAAAGCAGATGATTTAACTCAGGGCATGCATTTAACTCAGGGCTATGAGCAAAGGTGTGTAGTGAATTATGTAATGCTTAGATTTCAGTTGACTGGTAAGGTTTCTTTCATACCTTGAGGGAAAATTAGGGTTAGGAATCCCAGCTGTGTTCTGTAAGGAGCATAATCTGCCAATCAGAATGTGGATTTCATCAATGAGCCTTTGTTTAACTCTACTTATTAAGATTGACACCTGTATTTATTTATATACTTTAAATTTTTGGGAGTTTATGTTAATTTCATCAGTATTGAGCATTTTCAAAATTCTTCATCTTGTTATTTCATGAATTGGATTTTTGATTTTTGTCATCCTGCTCGTTCTCTATATTTTGCTGATTGGTCTCCTTGAGCGTTTTTGCTTCTCCCAGTTTATATGCCAGTTTCTCTTTTCTAAGTGCTTTCTTAGTCATTTGATTGTTCTGTACCTTGCTAGCACTGACATGTTAACATCCATGACCAAGTGTATAAATAGCTCCTTGTATAAAGGTGATATATAAACTAGTACTCAAAAGGTAACATCTGAACTTCAAATTGAAGCAACCTGATCATCATGCCAAATCAGATTCTACCAATTTAGAATATCAAGATGAAGCTAGGCACAGTGGTGCACACCTGTAATCCCAATAGCTCAGGAGGAGTGAGTTCAAAGCCAGCCTCAGTAATTTAGCAAGGCTAAATAAATTATATAAATGGGCTGGGAGGTCTCAGATTAGTGCCCCTGGGTTCAATCCACGGTACTCCCCATAATTAAAAAAAAAAAAAATGGGATTAGGGTAAAAATAGATAAATAAATTTGTTCCTGAACTGAAAACTAGCTCCCTATCATTATTGTTCAACATTTATAAATTCACTCTTTTGGGTACTAGGTATTGCAGAGAATGTGTGATATACTTTCTACTGCAGTCACTAGTAAAACAGGTCTTAAAGTAACCCAGTTACCTTTGTCCTTCCCTCTATATACACTGGAAAATAATGTCACAGAGGAAAATGATGCTTTTTTTTTTTTTTTTAAAGTTAGGGTAATAAAGAAAAAAAAATCTTTTTTTTTTTTTTTTTTTTTAGTGAAACATGGCAAAAGTGATGCATTCCATTTGTTGTGGTTATCTAGTCTTCAGAGTTCCCATTATTGTACATAGTTGAAATATACATGGACATTACTTTGGCCATGTAAGTCTTAATAGCAGCATTATCAAAGGATTGCTACCTCACTAGAGAACTTGCTTATGAGCAATAAATAGCTTTCCAGGGAATTTTTAGTTGATTGAAGTCCTCTTTATGCAGAACTTCAGCATTTAATTATTTTTACTTACCCACAAACACAAGTGGGGTTTTTGTCCATCTATTGAAAAACTATGGGTTAGAGCAAAATAACTGCGTTAAATTGTGTGGGTTCATATTCTGTTTCTACTAAATGGACAACTGTCACATCTGGGGAAAGCTGTTAGTACATTAAGTTTCATGTTTTGGTCAAATTAACTTGTCCACATTCCTAGTCAAGTTTTGCCTGTTGACTTTACTAAGTAAACTCTAGAGGAACTATACAGATTTTCTACTTTGTTTGCAGGTTAGACAGCCCTATCTCCTTGATGAAACGGATCACTTTGTAATGTTTTCCTATAAGGCTATTCAACTTAGAGATAATTTTGAGGCAAATTTTACTTCGAGATTCTTTTTTATGTCATTGATTATTAATCCCTTATTGTACCTGCACCATTACTAACATAGACCTCCTAATTTCCCCCCAGAAAGCTGTGAAATCAGAATACTAGAATGCTGAGGTGAAAAGGTTCAATCCCAGCCATCAGTTAGCTAGAAAATCATATTTTTGATAATACCTTGTTTTGAAGTCCTGAGACTTTATATATTTAAGATATAAAGGAGGGGCTGGGGCTATGTAGCTCAGAGGCAAAGCGCTTGACTCTTACTGGGTTCAATTGTCAGCACCACATAAAAATAAAAGATACTGTGTCCATATACAACTAAGAAATAGGAAACAGCTCAAGATCATGTTTTATTGAGGAAAAAGAAAAATAGTTATAGGATATAAACTCAAAATGATCTTCTGAATATTTACACAACGTGTACTGTGTGAAACTTTTATTTCACATAATGAGAAACTAATGAACTCAACAATTGCTTGAAGAGGTCATGAGGTCTGTGGCGGTCCCTTCCTGCAAGGGACAATGTGGCATCCAATAATGTAGTGGCATAACAAGGCTCACCTGAGACCCAATGCCAATCTTCCTAGTCATGTTCAAAAAGGGCACAGGAAACGGCTTTTCAAAATTACTTGATAGAAGTTCACATTTTATGCTCATAGGCCTCACAAAGTCTTGGTTTAAATTCTTGCTGCATTTGATAGGTTAAGCAGGCACTGCACCTTTACAAAAGTATTGTCACCTCCATCCTTTCTGATGGGGGAACCTCTATATTAATTACCCCATTACCACATTATATCAGTCATCCTTCACAGCCAGAAAATTCACTTTATTCAGTGCTTGGATGATTTGAATACAGATGCCTCCTTTTCTGTAAGTAAATGTTTTGCATCTATTTTTTTTCCCCCTTAACAACACAGAGATTCACCAAGGACAGTAGAAAATTGAGTCGAAAAAGTCTTGTTCTTTAATTTTCTTAAATAATCCTCATGTATCTTTCCACATTGTGGAAAAAAAGAAATATGCAGTCTGGATATAATGCTAAGATTGCAGAATACTGGCACACATCTGTATTTTGTATGTATTATAGTCTGACACTAACAGATGACAAGCTTACACTGCAAGAAGTTTACAGATGAAACTTTACATTTGAAAGTTTTAGATGTGCCAGAATTCCAAACTGCTCCAAAAAGAGTACATAGGACTAGGTCTGAAAGTAACTCCATCCCAGTTCTGTTTGATCACTGCAGCTGCACTCTGTATGCACCTATCAGCAGCTTAACCTAGGGAAAGGAAAAATGCATGCATTAGTATAGAACTACAATTTCCCTTTCTCACAAGAAAGAACAACATTGCCAAGACTTAAAAAATTCTAAGTGTTTATAATTTGTTTGTTACTTCATTATATTATCAGATCTGTTTTAATCCAGCTTCCTTTCACATGGAGAGGTGATGGTCTAGACATAACAATGGCAATACAGTACCAATGCCTAAAACAGGGGTTACAACTGCTAGACAGAGATGTTCTCAGATTTAACCTTCATCCCATTCCTGCCACATTGTCTTACAAATTTTTCAAGTCAGACCCCCATGCATCCAGTACTCTTAACCATAAGGAGTACTCCTCTCCACGATAGGCACACTGAAATTTCCAGAGACTAAGATAATTTTTTTCTAAAAGATCACCCAATATCATGGGACAGCAACCTGAGTAGTAATGCTAAACATGAAACAAGGACTCTTACCTTGGCAGAGGGTGCTTCTGTCAACCTTATAAAGAGCTTATTGGGGCCTGCAACAGGGCTGAAGGAGTAAACAAAATGACTATCCTAGAGTAGAAGGAGACAAGGAAACAAAGTTAGCATTTTTTCAGACAAACCTCAACATCTACAAATTATAACTTTAGTACTAGGGATTCTCACAATGGTTAGATAAGCACTCTACTGCTCAGCTACACCCCCAACCCTTATGTATTTCAATTTTGAAACAGGGTCTCACTAAGTAGCCCAGACTGGCCTCGAGTAATCCTCATCCCTCGGCTTCTCCATTCCAATGGAGTCAAAGAGAATCATGTATAAATCAGTGTGCTACAATTTCTTTTCCTTTGATTTAAAAAGATACAAATCATAGAAACAATACCCAGAAAACATGTCTCATTCAGCCCAAGGAAACAATTTTTGAAGTGGCAAAAGAAGTATATAAAGATTCTTCAAGAACTTTTGCTTATGATGTCCAAAAATTTATAGCCACTGAAAGATTATGACTAAAATGAGCATAAATACAACTAGTATATACAATGGTTGTATTTAGGAATTTGAGGCATTAAAGTTTCCTAAATTTTAAGTAAATATTTTTTTGGAATTATGATGGTAAGAGATCTGATATTTGAAATTGGTACTTTATGGTATTCTTATGTCCTAAGAATTTACATTCAGAATAATGTTGGTTCTAAGACAATATGGTAACATTGACAAAAACTTAGGATGAGTATGTGAATTTGCTCATTCCCAACAAGTGGTATATAGATATAAATTTAAGTAATATGAGCTTTTGGTTAGAAGAACTTTCAGTATTGGACTATAGAAATTCTTACCAGAAAAACAGGAAGTTGAAATTTATCATTTAAAACTACAGCTTGTACACTGCATGGTCCACAGAGCCGAGCAATAACTTCTTTACCCAAAAAGTTTGCATGAAAAATAAAGAGGAGGATGCCAGAACCTGAGGGAAGGAAGGACAAGCGAGTTATTAACTTTCAGACCCTAAGGCAAGGCACCCCTGCAAGATGGGAGTCTCAGTGAGACTCCACCCAAAATTTATGGAAGACCCTCACTCTTCTACTTGCCTTTTCAAGCTACTGGAAGTATGACACAGATTTAGCTCTCTAGCTTCATAATGAAACTTTCCCTTGCCTAAAGCACAGAGGATCAAAGGCCTGCAGAGAACGTAGGGGCAGTCTTTACTTTTAGCACCACTATCAAGTAGCAATCAGGATGTGAGGTTGTTTTGTAACTTTGGGGCAG